ACTTGGTACATTGAGCAAAAAGTTCACTACTACATCAGGTTCTCAATCTTCTACTCAAACTCCGAGTACTTCATCAAATTGAACAAATGCGTGAGACTATTGAAAAGTTAAATGCTGAATTGGTGGCAAAGCATAATAAGGAGAAGACACTTGAAGAAGAGATGCAGGAGTTGAGGAACAACCAACGCCAACAAGATGAGCGAGATGAAGCTTATTTTACAACATATTCAAATGAATAGTCATCCTACTACAAGTCAACATGACACTAGTCAACATGACACTGACAATATACCAGGAGGACTAATTTTCAATTTTATGATATTAAGACTTTGAATCTTGAGTAGTTGTCAAGTTCTTAAGTTTCATTTGTGTTATGTTTGGATGAATTAAGCAGGTACAAATTTTGTAAAATTGGATATACAAAATTTGACTTTAGTTCTTAAGTTTTCATTTATGTTATGTTTGAATTAATTAAGCAGATACAAATTTTATGATTTGAATAATTTGACTTTAGTTCTTAAGTTTTCATTTGTGTTATGTTTGGATGAATTAAACAGGTACAAATTTTGTCAAATTGGATATACAAAATTTTAAACGAAAATTTTCAGATTTGGTTAGATTAGCGATCGAATTTTTGGTCGCTACAAATTTATTATAATATACAATTCAAATTTAGCGACGTATTTAAATTATTATTTAAATAATTCAATTAATATATTAGCGATCGATTACATCCGTCGCTATTATTTTTAACTTTATCTCCAATTTAGCGACCAATTTAGCGACCAATTTTAATTATTATTTAAATAATTATATTAATATATTAGCGACCGAATATATCGGTCGCTATTTTTTAAAATTTTACCACTGATTTAGCGATCGATTTAGCGATCGATTTATTATATTATTTTCAGTCGCTATTTTGGTCTCCAAAGAATAAGTGACCAAATTATTTAGCGACCACTTTAGCGATCACCTGATCGGTTGCTATTTAGCGACCAATCTGTAATCGGTCGCTAACGAATTAGCGACTTGCCCTTTTGCGACCAACCATTTCGGTCGCTAACAGAATAGTGACCGATTTTTAGCCATTAGCGACCGATTATTTCGGTCGCTAATACCGTTTTTTCTTGTAGTGCTTCTTATTAATTAGAAGCGTTAAGAATAAAGGGATGCTTTTTTTTTTTAATTTATATATTATCTTATCATATTTAAAATAAAAATTAATTTGATTGATATGACTTAAACTTTAAAAATATATTTGATATTTTATTTAAAAATATTATTATTTTTTGAATTATTTATTTCATATAAACACTTTTTTTAATCCAGTCAAAATTATCTCATTGTTTTAATATAAAACCAGATTAAGTAAAAAATCATGACTGGGTCTTATTTTATTTTATTTATTTGATCCCAACCTAAGTTATGGACCGTTTTCACAGCTTTTATTATTATATATCTGTCAGTAGCAAATTTGAAAGTTATTAAAGTCAAAGAACAGTTGGAACTTGGAATTAAAATTTATTTGCCGATTATTTATCACTATTCTTTTTCAATACATAAATAATGATCCTTCATGAAAGGAGCCGTCATAGGAGAATGATCAATAAAGGATGTTTTAGTCTTGTCCATAAAACAACCTGTGATGCTCCGTAAAGAAAAAAAGAAGCATATTACAATACTATTTTTCTCTTTTCTCCTTTTATTCTTTTTAATTGAAGTGATAATGCTAATTGCTTAAATGACTACTCTTAATCATCCCCCAATGGTTAAACATTCTATTAAACCTCTACTAGTTCTGCAAAATGGAAATGAAATATTCGTAACTAGTTTATATCAGTGTGAAAAATCCAATCGATTCTTTTCACACACAACCCTAACTTGAAGTTTTTTAATTGATGAAGAGTAATGTTGAGTTTTTGAGAGGAATTGACATGGGTCAATTAAGACAAGGATTAACTTTATTTTTAACCTAAAACTTTAAGACAGGGGAGTATGAGTGATGATCAATTTTCTCGCTTAACTTACACTAATCCACGTAATAACCGTGGAGGGCCTTTCTGATTATTTAATGAAGTGTTGTTTAAAAACAGCACATGGATTGGGTACAACAAAGTAGGAGTGGTTGACTAAAAATATGAACAAAGTCGATGGAAATCTTCTACTCGAGAAAAACATGATAAGAAAACAAAGCAAGAAACGGCGGTTCCGAAAGGTAGAGCTTTTAATTTTCTTCACTAAAGTAACATGCAATCATGGACCATGCAAACTACAAAACCCCCCCACATGTCTAACAAAGTCAAATTCTTCACGTGGAAATATCAGTGAAGCATGAGTAGCGATGAAGTTGCTTTGGAGTTAGAAAATTGGTAATCGGTACTTAAATCAGATAATAAAAAATTTGACTTTAAGAGATTATATATATCAGGATCACAGGAAATTTGGTCAGATTTTTTATTTCTAAACATTCGTACCATTTAACACTTTTGAAATTAACTAAAACACGTGTTTAAGTGCTTGTTAATTATTACTTGATGGAGTGGGAGCTAGGAAATACTAAACAGAAGTGAAGTATTTCACTTGATGAAAAATTTAGAAGTGCGTTTGGTTTAATTTAATTTTTTGAAACTGTTTTTTTTTTAATTTTTAAATATTTGTTGATTTTTTTTGTTTAAAAGTAAGTATTATTTTTAAAATAAGTTGAGTTGCGCATGCACCAGTAGATTTGGTTCATGCTGGCATAACTTTTCGTTCGTTGACAAGGAGTTTCTAAATATCTCCGTAAGTTTTTTATGGGAACAGGTTAGGTGGACATGTCTTGACTATAAGATTATTTATTATTTTTTAAATGTTATTTTTTAATATTTAAAAAATATAAAAGAATTATAATCCTTTTATAGCAATTAATATAATAATTCTGTATTTTAACCAAAATTATTTTGTAAATACTGTGGGAAAATTTGAAATAATTCGTTTGAAATATATACTTAATTTTCTTCCCAAAACTTCTCAATTAAAAAAAAATACTATGAGTATGATTATGGATTAGGTGAGATTTAAATTAATATAATAGATATATTTATTTTAATATTGTACTTTTCAATCCTTAGAACGGTTGTTGTAGTTAATTTTTCGACTTGTGATTTGGGAGTTACAGTGACTTGTCCCTTGAAAGTTACAAATGGAACTTCTTATAACTCCATAAATGAACGATTTTTATTAAGGTAGGACTGTCCCAACTTCTGACACTTTAATATTAATACATCTATGGATGCATGAATTTTAATTACTCTTAATAAATTTTTAAGGAGTCATGGTTAAGAAATAAGAACCACGATGGTGGCTATCTTAATTACAAAGAAAAACGTGTGAATTGGTTGGATCTATAAAAAGACCCTTATATATCCTTATTTGAATCATTGAATACTCATTAAATATTGTATCTGAGAGTTAAAAACTTTGTCATAAATTTTTTTAATAAATTTGATGGAAATCTTTTGTTCTCTTTATTTCTGTAAGTAGTTTAATCAAACAACTATTAAACAAATTTAAACCACTTATCATATATATAAAATCTTTTTAATGACAAAATATTTTAAACAATTAATACTTTAGTTAAGGATAAACAAAATAATTCTTTCGAAAAATATTCTAAGAATCTTTATAGAATATAATATTTAAAAAAAAATCATTATTCACCCACTATAATAATTAAATTCTTTGATAATTGATTTGTATCTAAGTGACATCATTTATTACTTATGAATTTTGAAAATTTAGAATATAAATATAAGCGACGAAGTAATTAGTCTAATAAAAAAAAGTGAATATGAATGATAGACATAGTTTAAAAAGTGAAAGTTATTGCCTCTAACCCAAACTCAAATGCATTTTGTGAGGGCAATCGTTATATTAGAAACATCAATTATGGAACATCTCAAAATTAGGGAGAACAAAGGACAGATCTAATTAGTGATCCATTGGAAAGTAAAAGAGAGAGATGAAAATATAAAAAAAAAAGTACATATTTATATTTATTATACAGATAATTAAAAAAAAGTGGTATACGATGATAAGCTCTCACTAATGCTATAAAATTTGAGACAATAATTTAAAATGGGGAGAGGGTAAAGAAGGGACAGGTACCATGTGAAGGTAACGGTACATCTTATTTTCTAAAAATAGGTAAACCAAATGGGCCAGACTTAATTAGTGATTTAAAGTTTAGAAGAAGTACAAATGTTGACTCCAATAGTTGAAGATGCTGGAGGAAATTAAAAGTAGCATGTTTCATGGAATTCATGAAGGAACAAATAAAGATTACAGGGAGTGGAAATTAATGAAAGAGTGAGTTTGTGGCTAACCTTGGATCAACAACAATGTGCCGTCATGATTACCTGCTTAGCTTTGATTTCCCCTGCCAAACAACTGCATCATTGCTTATGGGCCATACACACCTCTGCCAAACATATCAAAAAGTTTAACCAATTAATCAATCCAACAAAATTAAACGCACAACCTTCACTAGTTTCAAATATCAACCGTTGCTCAACTACCATCATACAATATCATCAACTTTAGATTATTTATATAATTATTTTTAACAATACTTTTTTTATATTTTTCATTTCCCTTTTTATTGTATAAAAATTATATAACAAATATTGTCTAACAAAGACTAAGATAGATATATTAGACATTTAAGATATATATATATATATATATATATATATATTAAAAAAAAAGTTGTTAAGAGAGAAAATAAGTGTTGACTGTAAACGAAGTTGCAACGTGGAAAATGAAGAAAAATGGGAAACCCAAAATTGAATGTGGGCTCCATTTGCTGATGCTATAAATAATCAATCATATTATCTTCATACCAAAGTCGCGAAACTCCGCAGAAAGCACACTCTCAGAGCGTCTCCAACTTCCTTCTCGTACTCCACCCCTTCCTATTTCTGTAACTCCCCAACCCAACCCAAACGCATCACACAACGATGGTCGACGTCGACCGCAGACCCACCGGTTCGAACCCAGCTCACCTTGCTGCTCTAAGACGCCTCTCGGCTCGAGCCGCTTCCGTTTCCGCCCCAACTGTTCGTAATGGCTTTCTCTCATTTTCCGCTCTCTCCGAAAAAGTCATAACCCACCTCCGCAACTCGGGCCACGCCGAGTTCGCTCGCTCCGACTCCCACTCCGACCCGGTTCTCAAGAAGCAGAGATCGGTCGCGGAGAAACACTCCGCCTCTAAATGCCCCCTCCCCCCTTTCTCCCGCCGCAGCCTCGACGCTGCCGTCGACCGCCGTAGGAGAGCCTCTCCGGAATGGGTGGAGGGCTACGTGGGGCTCATGGGGTCCGTTCTGAGGGAAGGAGGGTGGAGCGAATCGGATATATCGGAAATGGTTTCCGGTTCCGGTTCGGATTTTGGTTTGGTTTTGTTGGATAATGAAGGGGTAATGGACGCACTGGTTTCGAAGGCAGAAAGGTTTTCGGACTCGTTGAGGAAATCCGGGTGGAGCTCCGAAGAGGTTTCGGATGCGTTGGATTTGAGATTCGATTTACCGGTGGAGAAGGGGCGGAGACCGCCTAAGAAGGTGTCCCCACAGCTGGTGGAAAGAATAGGGAAACTGGTGGAATCGGTTTCCCGGTCATGACACATGGAAGCGGATTTAATTGCGTTTGTATTTGGTTTCACGATTTACTGAGAACAAAAAATAAATCGTAGATTTTTAATTAGAAATGTTTATTAGTACGATGGTAATGTTGTGTATGTATACTTGTATATAATAATAATAATAAAGTCATAATAAACCAACAGGAAAATATTATGTTTGTGGGTATTTCAAATTTGAAGTTAAATTAAATATTCTTGTTTCACTGTAGGTAAAGATAGTTGATAAGAATGAATGGAGGGAAATGAGAGTGTAGTTCGTATTATTTACCCCATGCTTTTACAGTGTATTTAATAAATGTTTTATCTGGCGTGTGGAGTTACTTGGGAGTGAGGGAGCGAATACTGATATTAAATTGATGAGAATGAAGGTGAAGGGATGTGAAGAATGACAGAATGGCAATGTCTGCGAGAAAAAGGGTATCTTCTTAGTTTATAAGACTACGAATCGAGAAAAAGAGAGGAACCACGTGATTGGGGGTGGTTGTTGGGGAATAAGAAGTGAAGCCGAAATGAAGTTTTTTGTGGTTTGGACTATTGTCCTGTTTTGCAAACAATTGTGGGAGCATAGCATTTTATTTAAGTTGGTGCTCGTGTGATGGGGCGTGACATTAATGCAGGGATAAGTGCATAGGATTTGGTTTCTTCCTTTCAATTTCAAAAAATAATTTATGGTGGATTCCTACGTGGCATTATATGTTTCTGTTTTTTAACCAATTGTAGATTAGATGAATGATGAAAGTAGTCAGTGTGGACGCAAGGGAGATTAATGTACATTTTATCATCTATAAAATTTTATGAGCATTAAGTTATGTGCAGTAATATAGAAAATATGATTTTATCCTTCACGTAACGTCTTTGAAAAGAACAATTCATGTTCAATATTTCCTCAGAAGACATTGTTACCACATGCACACTACAAAGCTTTTATGATTTCAGCTACCACATCACACATCCATTAAAAGAGATAGTGAAGGAATGTTCATACCCAATGGAGTGACTTCCATCATGATTGTTGTTATATGTTGACAGAGCTCCACCTTTCTTTCCTTACTTGGTTCAATAGTCATTATTTTTCATTTTTTTGATAAATTAAACATAATCAAATTATATGCTAGCATAATTCATTATGCTGAAACAATTAACTAATCAATCAAATTTTTACTCATTTGTATTTTTTTGCTCTCTTTTCTCTAATATAATGTAAACAAAGGTTAAGGAATAAAACTAAAATGCTAATAAAAAACCAAGGTGATTTTGATTTTGATTTATAACTATGATGTTAATTAAATTTGTCCATATTTTTTTGAAAAAATATATAGGGAAATAAAAATAGATAAATACAAATTATTGGGATGAAAAGTTAAGAGTATAAAAAATGAAGATAAACAAAAGATATATACGATAAAGTAAGTTAAATTTGTTAAATTTAAACCTTCAAATAATGCAATTAGTAATCATTAGTTGTAGGTTGATTCTTCAAGGAACAAGTTAAAAACGTATTACTTAATCATGGAAGCTTTTATTCGAGATTCAATGAATAATGAACATACCATTTTGTATATTAGATGAGATGATAAGTAAAAAAATTTAAAAAGATACAGAATTCTGGAATCTTAAACGTTGTGACAGTAAGATATTGGAAATGAATGGTATATCTCTATTGACATGTCTAGCTTGATAAAAGAGCTTAGGAGTTCACTTCTTCTTTGACTTGTTCATGAATTGACTTCTTTGACTTCCTTAATACTCAACTAAACGCAAATTACTTAGTTAACTACAATAAAAATAGCCAAGAGCAAAGCATGGTTAATCATAAACGTTACCCGAGGGTGGGTTCTCAACCGTGGCTAACGGATAAGCATAACTTTGAGATTTCCAAATCACGCGTGGGCACAAGCATTATCTTTGCAAATTGCAACTAATTAGTAAGGGTTTGAAAACTTGTTGGTCAATATCATATGTGACACGTTTGCAACGCGTGAATTTCCTGTCCCAACTCTAACTAATCTAGTAATAATAATATGAAGATGACTTACCTTTGAATTTTATCGTATAAAAATATTCAAAAATTAAAACTAAATTTAACCATATGAATTAAAAACCTTTATGTATTAGTAATGTATCTAGACTTACAATATATAAACAGGATATAAGAATCCATAATGACCATTAAGTTTAATTAAATTTATGTCGCAAATGTTTTTAGAAAAATAAATGTTTGTTAAACGAAGGTTCTGGGAAAGTATAGACGTTAATGGCAGCATGAGCTTAGTGATTTTCAATCGTTTTTGTCTTGGAGCCTGCAAGCACAGCACGAGACTGAAACACCCAATGAAGGTACCCATAGGGTCCACGTCCACCTGCACGTGCCACGTCTACATGCCCCTCTATTTTCTTCTCACTCTTTGATCAAAAGTGTAATCAGTGTTGAGTGAAGTGTTGGATATGACCATGGAGGGTGGGAATGAAGCTATGTCAAAGTTTTGTGTCTTGTATGTCTGGTGTAGAGGGTCATGGTGGTCACCACTTTATGCAAACCCAGACAGTGTCAGTTTGGTTTAGTGGGATCCAGTGGTTAAGATTGTGACCATATCATCTTCATATTAAGGTAAGATTCTTCACTTTAACAATATACTCTGCTTACCATCATATATGGTTCTTACCATCATGTACATTTTTTCTTACTACTAACAATATATGTTATTTTATTATTATTTATTTATTATTTTAATATATATTTGAAACATATTCAAAATTTTTAATTCATAAAAAAATGGTGGAACTATAAAAGCATAAATAATTTTTTTTAAATGTCATCCACCATTACCTAAAAGTTTTGAATTTATTATTCCATTTTGCTCAAATAACCTCTAAGACTATTTCTTTGCAACCAAAGTCCCCAACTTAGCAATGGAAAATGTAGAAATATCTCACTTTATCTCCATCAATATACCATTTGCCTGAGGAACATAACAAAGTCCATCAATCTCATCTCCCTATGTTTTTTTTTATGGGAGAGGAAATATAAAAAAATGAAAAAAAGATAAAAATAATAGAAAGTAAAATTGTTTAACTTAAATGAGTAAAAATTAATTAAAAAATTAAATAAATAAATTTATTTTTAATAATTTTGTTTATTATTTTAATATTATTTTTTAGTTATTTATTATTATTATTATTATTTCATATATATATATATATATATATATATATATATATATTAATTTAAAACATAATCGATTCAAACAAAACCTAAGTCAAAAAATTTGAGAGAATTTAACTTAGATGTCGAAGTCATGAAAGATTCGTTAATTTTTCATATAAAAACCTATTTTTAGGGAGTATCTCTGTTAGAATTTAATTCCAACTTTAGGTTTAACTGTCAGGTTTTAGTTTGTAACCAATTATTAATGGTGTATTATCTTATATAAGAGTACCCATAACTCAGAAATTAAATACAACAATACTTTTCAGTTTATCACAAATATACACAAATTAAACACATTATCCTGCAAATTATTGTGTGTGTCTATACGCGTGTGAGGTATATACAGAGGAGGAAGTGAGAGGAGGAGCTTATCTGGTGAAGCTGGTGGAGCTGTGACGGTGGACGGTGGAACCCTAGAGTGAGCTAGAGTTTTCGCGTGGTCACTGTATTCTTTCGAGAATATTCTCCCTCTTTCTCGTGTTGTTTTGGTAGCGTGCGAAAACATGGGTATTATTACCCTTTAGCAGAAGAGAGAAGTAGGCCTGAGTATTGGGCCAGTTTCAACAGTGGTATCAAGAGCAGGTTACGAACCAGGTACATTTGTAATATGGCAGGAAATGGAAATGGCAGTGGGAATTTCTTTTCTAATTTGCCATCTCTTAATGGAAAGAATTCTGATCATTGGGTCATAAGGATGGATGATATTCTTGGTTATTAAGAACTATGGGAAGTAGTAACAGAAGGTGCAACGGAGAAGGACGAAGCCGCAAACAAGAAGAGAGATTGCAAGGCTCGGTGTCTCTTGCATCAGTGTGTGGATTCTGTGAATTTTGAAAAGATAGCCAAGGCCAAGACAACAAAAGACTGCTGGGAAATATTGCGGAGGGCTCATGGAGGTGCAGAAAAAATCAAGAAGGTCAGGTTGCAGTCTTTAAGAAGACAATATGAGTTACTTTCAATGCAGGAAACTGAAAGTGTAGCAGACTATTTCAATAGGCTGCAGTTGCTCGTCAATCAGATTAAAAGTTGTGGAGAAACCATGACTGAATTGAGTACAATAGAAAAGGTTTTGCGCACATTGACAGAAAAATTTGATAATGTAGTAGTGGCAATAGAAGGGTCTGGCAGGAATATGAAGGCCCTGTCACTAGAGGAATTACAGAGTACGTTAGAACCACACGAGTTGAAGTGCACAACGCAAAAATATGAGAAGGCAGAGGATGAGCAGGCCTTGAAAGCCCAAATCAGCAAGAAAAGTTGTGGCTCTGACAGAGGAAATTGGAAGAAGAATAGAGGAGGCAGATTTAACAAAGAAAGAAATTTTTTGTCTCAAGATTCTGGTTCTAGAGAGAAAACAGATCAGAAGGCTCAAGGAGGACGTGGGTCTTGGAGAGGCAAAGGAGGAAAGAAGAGTGTTGATATGCGGAAAATTCAGTGTTACAATTGTGAGAAATGGGGTCATTATGCAGTAGACTGCTGGCATGGAAAAGGAAGACAAAAAATGGGTCAAGTTGATGCAGAGGCAAAAGTAGCACAAGATGATTAAGAAGAGGATCCTGTGGTGCTTATGGTAATGACTAGTGAAGAAGAATTTTGTGTTGAAACTTGGTTTCTTGACACTGGATGTTCCAACCATATGACTGGGCACAAAGAATGGATGTCCAGCATAGATACCAGCAGATCCAACAAGATAAAGCTGGCATATGACAATGTTATAAAGGCTGAAGGAGTTGGGAATGTGGTAATTAAGAAAGATGGCAAAGAAGTCATAGTGATAGAGGATGTGTTATATGTGCCAGGGATGAAATGCAATCTGTTGAGCGTAGGACAACTGGTGCAGAAAGGTTTTTCAGTGTCAATGAAGGAGGAAATGTTGAGAGTTTATGATGCTAAGAAAAGGCTTGTACTGAAATCGCCTTTGGCAAAGAACAGGACATTTCAGACAAGGCTTTTCTTGGCAGAAAATCAATGTTTAACAACAACTACGACAGATGAAGTGAGTTGGTTGTGGCATAGGAGGTATGGGCACTTAAATTTTACCAGTTTGAAGAAGTTGGGCGATAAAGGGATGGTGAATGGACTGCCTAAGACATTAGTTGTACCAGGAAAGGTGTGTGAAGGGTGTTTGGTGGGAAAACAACCCAGAAATGCCTTCAAAACACATATGCACATGAGGGCAAAGGAGGTATTGCAGGTAGTTTATTCTGATGTATGCAGACCATTTGAGGAGTTATCACTTGGACAAAATAAATATTTTGTCACATTTGTTGATGAGTACAACCGAATGATTTGGTTGTATTTGATCAAAGTCAGATCAGAGGTGTTCTCTGTTTTCAAGAAATTTAAAATGATGACAGAAAAACAAAGTGGGAAGATGATTCAGATCTTGAGAACAGATGGAGGAAAGGAATATTTGTCAAATGACTTTGAAGATTACTGCAGAGAGAATGGTGTGCAACATGAAGTCATAGCACCATATACTCCATAACATAATGGGTTGGCAGAAAGAAGGAATAGAATGATACTTAACATGGCCAGGAGTATGATAGAACAAAAACAGTTGCCTCATTCATTATGGGGGGAAGCTGTCTCAACAACTGTCTATTTGCTAAACAAGTGTCTTACACAGAAGCTGGAAGATAAAGTTCCAAAGGAGGTTTGGTGTGGTAATAAGCCAGGGGTTAAGCATTTGAAGATATTTGGCTCAAAATGCTACAAACATGTGCCAGATGTTAAAAGGACAAAACTGGCAGATAAAAGTGAGGCTATGATTTTTGTGGGTTATCACTCTACAGGAGCTTATAGGCTATACAATCCTGTTTCCAAACAGATTTGTATCTGCAGGGATGTTGTCGTAAGTGAGGAAGAATCCTGGGATTGGAATGAAAGACAAAGGGAAGACAAGCAAGCTAGAGGGTTCTTTGAAGAAGAGGAAGAAGTTGATACATCAGGAGAAAATACAATAGAACCCCAGTCTCAAAGAGTTGTGAGGCAGAGAAGACCACCACGAACTCTGGTGGATTTTGAAGTATATCCAGATGATGTTGTGACAAGTGAGGGAGACTTAGTGCATTTTGCACTAATGGCAGAAGCTGAACCATTAGATCATGATGAAGCCATGAAACAAGAATTATGGAAGAAAGCCATGTTAGAAGAATTAAACTCCATTGAGAGGACAAACACCTGGAAACTGACTGACTTACCCAGTAACAAAAAACCCATTGATCTGAAATGGGTTTTCAAACTAAAGTTGAATCCAAATGGCAGTATTAAGAAAAAGGAAGGCAAGGCTAGTGGTGAGAGGATTTTTACAAAAGAAAGGGCTGGACTACACAGAAGTATTTGCTCCTGTGGCCAGATTTGAGACAATAAGGATGGTAGTAGCCTTGGCAAATGGGAGAAAGTGGCCTTTATTTCAGATGAATGTCAAATCTGCATTCCTAAATGACCCACTTGAAGAAGAGGTTTATGTTACACAACCTCCTGGATTTGTGAAGAAAGGTGTTGAGCATAAGGTGTATCGGCTGAGGAAGACTCTCTATGGCCTTAAACAAGCACCCAGGGCCTGGAACAAAAGAATAAATGCTTTTATGTTAAGCCAAGAGTTTAAGAAATGCTCCGTGGAACATGGAGTATATGTGAAGTATGGCAGCGGGACTGATCTAGTCTTAATGTGTATATATGTGGATGACTTGCTCATTACAGGAAGCAATATTGACGAGATAGAAGAATTTAAGAAGTTGTTAATGACAGAATTTGAAATGACTAATTTAGGAAGACTAAAATACTTCCTAGGCATGGAGTTTGTGGAGACTGAGAGAGGATTGATTCTACATTAGAGGAAATATGTTGCGGAGATCCTAACAAAGTATGAAATGATGAACTGCAACATAGCAGTAACACCAGCTGAGGGAAAAGTTATAGTAACTAAAGATGGAGAAAGTGAGATAGATGGGACTCTATACAAACAGGTGGTTGGGTCTTTTAGGTACCTCTGCAACAGTAGGCCAGATATCTGCTTTGCAGTAGGCATCCTAAGTAGATTCATGCAACAACCTAAGCAGAAACATATGCTAGCAGCCAAAAGGGTGATGAGATATGTAAAGGGAACATTAGATTTTGGAGTATTATTTCCAAAATATAAAGAAATACAGACAAAACTGGTTGGTTACTCTGATGCAGACTGGTGTGGATAGAAGAAGTACTACAGGGTGTGTGTTTATGTTT